AATAATTTATAACATAATTTAAATAAAAATAATATCTATATTATATTTAAAACAAATAAAATAAAAAATATTTCTTTGAATCTTATTTCTTTGTGTTTATACATTTAATTGCAAATTAAATCTGTAAGCAAAGTGAATAGCGTGAAATAGCCGGTGGTGATGTGATGATATTTGACTATAGACTTAAATTTAAGAATTATATAGGTGATAATACTGCAATGATATTAATACTGTAAATCATCAAATAATAAAGACATACAAGCTTATATAGGTAACTTTAATAAGATTACAATTTTATATAAATCTGTACTAACTACCCGTAGATACATAAATGATAATAATATATATAGGATTTAATAAATAGTGAAAATTATGTAAAGAAAGTTGATAACTCAAGCCCTATAATTTAACAATTGTTAAGATTTAAAAGCGCTTAACTATAAAATTCAAACAAATTGTAAGTTTATTRTTATGAAGTGAAGTTTCATTCATAACTGATCACGTTATTTTTGATTCATTACATACATTTTAATTTAGTCTTCATGCCCATGTGTAAAGTAAATATTAAAGATTATTGTATATCAATAACATAGTTATAAGTATTTGGTTAATGCAAAAATGAAGAGGTTCTWACAGAAAACTGAATCGTGACCATTCTACGCATGCACCACTATATTTCTAATCAAAATCACTAATCGCTTTATCAATATTTTATATTATTAATATTTAACAATTGAAATCATGTTAATAAAAATACTCAGAAATCCTAAATCAAAGGCTTAATTCATATCTTTGTAATGTTGGGTAGTAACTTAATGTTGTCAATACAATTTAGGACAAAAATTTGTCTTATAGGGAAAATTCTTATACCCTGTAGCCTGTAGGGTAATTGCATTTCCTAATTATTTTTTTTTTAAATTACCTACTTATGCATTTTTAGCAATAATGYCGCGGTTCMTWATTCCATTATATTTAATTTCAATTAACACAATTTTAACAAAATTACATCGTTGTGACTAAATAATTTATGAATGTAGAATGCATGGCAAMACCTTGGGGCTGAGACAAAACTTTATGGCTAATTTGTTTATTTCTTGTCTGGGTTTTGTATGAATGTAATTCATTGTTATTATTTTTATTATTTTATTAAACTACAGTAATAGTTCTTAAAAAAAAAATCATCTAGTAGCTAGTACTATAGTCTCTAATAACAAAAATAAAATCGATTTCTAACAACATTTGGAGAAGAGAATAAGAAATTTAATGATGTTTTTAATATTAAAATCGGGGCTTCAGTACTGCACCTCAGATTTTTCATTGGGACGGTGGTGAGGCTGTAGCCAAAGGGGAGGTTAGTGTGCAGACCCCTGAGAATAATAAATGCAATTTAAAATTTAAAATTTATTAGTCAAAAAACACTTTTATTCTCCATAAACATTGACGTTTATGTAAGTCTTAATTTAGAAAAAATTAGAAGGTATTCCGGAGTCCTCAACAACGAATGTTTAATGAAAGAGAGTTCCACACAAAATTATCAGTTAAATAACAAGGGAGGCTTCGCTCTTACATTCCTTTCTAGCAAAAATCATAATCTAGTCTACAAATTATTATAAATGAGAAAAAAGCTTATTTATTATTTATTAAAAAAAAAAAAAAACATAAAATTAGTTGAACGTTGGCTGCCACCTGAATTATTTTTGACGTAAGTATTGCTGGATACCAAATTCGACATTATCTTAAATTAACTTTATTTTAATAAAACCTGAAAATAGAAAAAATATGTATTTTACCGTAGCGTAGACAAMATATAAATATAACATTAGAAAACAAAGAAATTATCCAAGTAGACCATTTCAAATACTTAGGCAGCATAATAACAGACGACGGGAAAAAGAAATCAGAAGCAGGATAGGTCAAGCAAAGAACACACATTCCTTAAAAAGAGAAAAATACTAACATAAAAAAATATGAACATAGCAACGAARAAACGGCTCATAAAAACATACGTATGGAGTGTGGCATTATATGGAAGCGAGACCTGGACAATTTATAAGAAAGAAAAAGATATGTTAGAAGCTCTCGAGATTTCAAGTATCTGCGGTCATTTGTTTCAGTCGTTTTAGAGTCACGCCAAAATAAGAAAATCGCTAAATGTGAAATCCAATGTTGAAAAAATTTAAATTTCAAATGCTCATAAAAATTTAATTTGAATTCCGGTGGACTTTTTATTTGTGATAAAGATTGAAAAACTTGTAAGGAATCTTGTATTAAATTTTTAAGTCTTAGATTAAAAAGAAAATTTTTTATGAATTTCTAGCTTAAAATAATTTGTGAATTTTYGTGATTTTTACGTATTTTGTCAAAATTCAAACTATAGCCTATACCCATGAATAGCTCAACTTAAGTCGAAAATTTTTGAAAATTGCATGGTGGATAGAATATCTTTATATAAACATTCGGTGAAAATTTCATGTATCAATGGTCATTTGTTTTAAAGTTACATCAAAAACCAAAATCGATTTTGTCGAAAACTGATCGTGCGTAAAATTTCACGTTTTCCCCTTAATTTTCAGTTTGTTTTTCTCGGTTATTTAGAAAAGTATTAAGAATATTTTACTTTTGGCCCCCCCAAAGTACCAACTAGGTTCACTTTCTGATCGAACGAGGTACTGCAGTCAAAAATCAAGCACCATGATATTCTTGCATATAATATCATTCAGGTACCTGCTACTATATTAATATGAGAATGAGACGATATTATAAGACAATTAAATAAAGAGAAATTAAAAGAAAATTGTAAAAAGAAAAAGGTTTCTAAATTTTGTCGTACTTAATAATAATAATATATAGTATAAAATATAAATGAAATTTCAAATTATTATTAAATAAATAATTAATAAATTATGATACTATTGTAGTATTGTACTAGCCATTGTGTAGTGTGTACTCACTGTAGTGTGATAATAGACAATAAGTTAGACAATATAATATAGACAATCATCAATAAGCGATCCAACCGTATGCGCTTAGATCACGATTACATCTATATTTTTTTAAATATTTTAACTAATATACCTAGGTAATTACTTTTTCAGATCGAGAATGGAAAAGTAAACAAAAAATATCTGAACTATCTTACATAATATATTTTACTATACGATTTGCAACCTTGGCCATAGACGTCCGCAGAAATTTTTATAGGGGGGGGGGGCAATGTTAGGATTTGAGGATAAATATTATAATTTTACTAGGTGTTTTAAAATAATAATCTTTTTTATTATACCTACTCGCATACAATATATTATATTTTATACTTTAAATTTGTTGTATAGTATATAGTAATTTATCTTAAAACATTCAATTAAAAATAATATTTTGAAAAATCCAGGGGGGGCAAATGCCCCAGCTTGCCCTCCCCTGCGGGCACCTATGACCTTGGCCTAGTCATGTAAACATAGGCGTAAACTGGGGTGGGCAAGGGGGCCATAATTTTATATAATAATATTATGTAGATATGATTTATTTGATATTATGATATGATTTGAAAATATGTATATGATTTTTAAAATATATTTATCGATTCCTATTATTATTGGTTGATTTATTTCATTACTTTGGTAGTATAATTTTGATCATCTTATACTATTAATTATTATTATACAACAAAAGGTAAAGGTAATTATTTACAAGTTACTAAAATGTAAGGTTTACTATATATTCTAGTTGATATATAACTATATATTTGCCCCCCCCCCTAATACAAAAAAAAAACCTAAAAAGTTGGAAACCAAGTATATCCGTAAACAGCTCAAAACAAGTCAAAATATTTTGAAAATTGTATCAAATATAGAAAGTGCTAATATAAACAACCAGTGAAAATTTCATGTATCTACGGACATTTTTTTTTAGAATTACACCAAAAACCGAAATCAATTTTGACGAAAATCGGGTTTGCGTAAAAATTCCCGTTTTTTCTTTAATTTTTCATTTGTTTTTCACGGCGTTTTTGAAAACTACAGAAAAAATGTTACTTTTGACCCCCCCAAAGTACCACAAAGGTTCACTTTCCTATCAGAAAAGTTACTTTTGAAGAAAATCTAATCATTTTTACTGAACTAAAACGTGATGACAGACGCAAAAAAAAAATAAAAAGAATAAAAAAACACACATCATTCAAAATCAATACATTTATCGCTCCGCTCAGAATCTAAAAAAGTATTTGAATACAATCATAGGCGCCCGCAGAAATTTTTCTAGGGGGGGGAGGGCAATGTTAGGATTTGAGGATAAATATTATAATTTTACTAGGTGTTTTAAAATAATCTTTTTTATTATACTCGTGTACAAATACAATATATTATATTTTATTGTATTATGTTTATTTTATACTTTAAATTTTTTGTTTAGTATATAGTAATTTATCTTAAAACATTCAATTTAAAAAATATTTTAAAAAAGCCAGGGGGGGCAAATGCCCCAGCTTGCCCCCCCCCTGCGGGCGCCTATGAATACAATACATATTCATAATATTATTACATTTATTCCAACGAACACTTAACAATTTTACAAGACTGAACTGCAGCTAGTCTGCAAGCTCAAAACCATTGATTATAAATACTATAATATTTATATTTTATAATCAATGATAAAACTTTCTTTTCTACAGGGAATAATAAAAATCTAGCCCGTCTGACTAGCAGCGCTCGGCGGTTTTATGAACTACGCGGAGCGTAACTCATTCTAACCGCTGATACGGCGCGCGATAACCTGTTCTTTATAATAGTGGTTTAGATAGTACCGAGTTGCCCGACCTGTATACACAGACTTCTATAATAAGTATAGAAGTCTGTGCCTGTATATAAGACCGTGGCCGCAGTATTGGCCAAAAAGTTTTGATAAGAAATTAAACAATTTTGATTCTTGATAACAAATTAATTTATTTCCATGATTTTGTAAATATAATATATACAATAATTTTTGTCACATTTGAAACTTAAAAGTTAACAATTAACTTATAACAAAAACAAACCACAGATATAGATAATAAAGTTTATCTTCTATATCTGTGGAACAAACCTTATAATTTACTTATAATGACAATCTTGTCATTTTACATTTACTATACATTTATTGTAAACAAAAACCGGTACCAACTTCAAGGCCGAGCCTCCAGTAATTCGAACGTAATTTCAAGGCCGAGCCTCCACTATGTTATCACACGGCAGAGTGTCGTTTCTTGTTTGTTCTTTTATATTATTATGTACAGTGTCCTAGCCTCCTAGCCAAAGTATCTACGAAATCTAAGACCGTACTTGCTAAAAGATATCATACAAGAGTTTTGAAGACCTATTACCTAACCTTTTTAGATGATTTTAGATKAAATGAAACAATCGAGTATTTCGAGAATATTCTATCGATTTTTYCGGTCACCAGGCATCGCTACAACCGGCAGCACTGCGGWTTTGTGGTTACTGTTGAATATTGTGATTATTCATCACTGATAATATGTTAACACGATTAATATAAAGTTTATATTTTCTTGGTTATAACTTATAAAATAATAAACCGTTTTTGTGAATTTCGGACTTGAAGGATTATGCTTTAATCGTATAAACTCAAACTAATTTACTTAACTTGTAACATCTAAATACCTTACTTATCCAGCATGAGTTTAAATTTAGGTGCAACCAAAACCACAAATCAGCCTTCAATGTTTACAATGACTGCACCTGCTAATGCTTCGTGTAAGTTAAAAATTAATTGTTAATAATTAGACTAGGTTGCAACACGTCAAGTTTGTAACACAAATGTTTTACGTTGAAACTTTACAAAATAGTTCTTAAAATGTAATTTTGTTTGTGTTCATTTTCTCCAGATAATTTTACATAAATCTAATTCAATTGTTACTCATAGTATATTATGACGAGCATATTTGAATAAAGCATACCTACAACATTTCTGTCATAAATTTTGTTGACTATATTATACACTATCTAGTATTATTACTTTTTAGGTGCTATTAATTATTTCATATTTATAAATATTATAATGTATATTTTAATGAACCCCTGATAATGTTATTTTAATAAAATATAATGAAAGTAACTATTGTAAGCCAGCAACTGTTGGTAAAAAATTGCTGATGCAGCTTTTTTAGTAAGTGCTCGGCATAGGTACATCTCATATTGTGAGTTGCTGTCAGTCCAATTTGAGTGGAAATATGAGAGTATAGACAGTATGAGCCTTAGTTATAGAGTTTTCATTAAGAGCCTTAAATTGTAAAATAACTTACATAAACATAATTTTATTGATTAAACTTTATAATATTTTTACTGTGTAATGTTTTTTATTTATTTGTCCATATTTACAAAGTATACATATATAATAAACATTTTCAGTAATTTACATGATTGTGATTTGAGCTTCTATTAAGTAAAACAAAATTGATGAATTTTAGAATTTTATACGATAAAAAAATTAAGAAAATTTTAGGTACCTGCCTGTTTTAGAAATCTATTTATTTATTTTCAAACCAATAGGTAAAAATAGTTATAGATATATTGATTTAAAAAAAAATGGGTGGAAATAGTTTTTATTGATAAATTATAATGCCTTTTAATAAAAAAAAATACAGAATAAAATTATAAGCCTATTGTGTAAAAGAAAGGGAAAATAAGATAATATGATATTATATTAACATCATATTATGTATTAAAACATTATTTATTTATTTAGGTGGTTCAACTCAAGCTTCAACAGCTTTCTCCTTAGGGAGAAAYACCCAATCAACTTCCACTGGTTTTTCATTAGGTGTTAAAAATCAATCATCTACTGGTTATTCACTGAGAACATCAGCATCTACTGGATTCTCGTTAGGTCAAACTCAAGCATCTAATACTTTATCATTGAGAATAAATCAAACTTCAACTACTTTCTCTTTGAATGCTACTCCGACTGTTTCTACTGGTTTCTCATTTGCTAGTACCACCAAAACATCTACTGGTGTCTCGTTAGTTACAACTCAAGCATCTACTGCCTCACCACTGGTCACTACTCAAGTGTCAAATGCTTTCTCATTGGGAACAACTAAAGTATCAACAAATTTCTCATTGGGTACATCTCCAGCAGTTTCTTCAGGTTTCTCATCAGGTAAAAAAAGCAGTCCTGGATTTTCATTGAGCTCTTCTCAAACAACCTCAGCCCAAGCTACTACATTACAAACTACTGCAGCAATTACTTCACAACCGCTATCTGTCACATCTCGGTATGAATAAAATCCAATATTTTAATTACAATTATAATTATAATAACATAATACATTTCTATAATAGATCAGATAGTCAATTCAGCACAATTCAACCAAATAATTTTCAACAACTTTTTGATTTAATGAACAACTGGACTGTCAGCTTAGAAAATCAAGAAAAACAATTTCTTAATCAAGCAAGTGAAATAACTGTTTGGGATAATATGTTAAAAAATCAATCCACTAAGGTAATTTATATTAATTATTTAATTTAAAATATTAATTTATCATAACTATTAATTTGTAGTTGATAAAACTGAACGATATTCTGGAGAAAAAAAAAAAAGAACAAGCCAATATTGAAAATGAACTTGACTTCTTGATATCCCAACAAAAAGAACTTGAAGATTCTTTAGTTTTACTAGAGCAAGAATTACAATCTACTGAAGTATTAAGTAGCTTGAACAATGAAAGGGAACCAATGTATGTTTTTTTAAATAATTATATAGTATAATTACTATTTTTCACTTATTTTAACCAAATAATATTTTATATAGTTATAACGTTGCTCAAGAAATTGATAACCAAGTAAAACAAATGTCAGGGGATATTAAAGAAATAGTAAACGTTTTAAATGAAGCCAACTCCGAAAATGATCATGATGATGATAATAATGTAAGTTTAATCAAAATTATATAAATATAAATCAAAAAATTATTTWAAAATATATTTGTATAATGATTTATTTGACTTTGGTTTCAGTTGAATACTATTTGTCGAATATTGAACTGTCATATGACAGCATTACACTACATAGAGCACAATGCAAACAATTTAAGTTCTATGGTATCTGAAGTGAATGAAGAACATTCTCGTTTCTTAACAGCTGCTAATAATGCTGATAACTGTTTTGTGTCTTCTTTTAGGAAAAAATAATATAAGATTGATATTTACACAATTTAATACAATATTGTATTTGATACTTTTCAGTATTATAAACAGATACTTACTAACATTTAATGATTCAGTAAATTATATTTATCCTTAATTATGTGTAATTGTTTAAAAAAGTTAAAATATAAACAAGTATTAAATTGTTTAGCTTGTAAACATTAATGAAGATAATAATTTATCAATGATTTAATATTTCATAGAATATAAATACTAATATTATGACTTAGATAAAAAATCATTTGTTTTTTAATGTAGGTATGCAAAAGATTTTAGTTTTTTTATTTTACGAATATCGAAATAAATATTGAACATAATATAGTGCGTTAAGAGAGGTAAATTATAATATTGGGTAAAATTTAATTTAATTCATTTTTAAAAATTTCATAATTTTTATTTTACAGTTAATTATTAATATTAATAGCAGTAAAAAAACTATATGACCCTAAAAAAATCTTTTTTTCATAAGTATTAAATTTTTTGAATTGGGAAGCTAGTTATAAAAAAACTTGAATATTGTTTTCATTTCTTAAAATTGAAAAATATATGTTTAGGAAGATTAATAGAGAACAAAAAGTGATTTATTAAACATATATTTTTGTAGTTTTATAGTCGTAAATATACCCCCAGTAATTTTTTATATGTTCATACATAGGCAAGTGAAGACTTTGTCCGCAGGAGGGCCTACATTAAAAAGGTCTGAACCATTTACCAAATATTCTTGTACTAATGACTACTAGTATAGTAAAATATTTAATTTAAAATTTTTTAAGTAGGTATCTATTTATTTAATTCAGTATACAAATAAAAAAATAATCTAGTATAGTATAGATATCAGTCATCACTGCATCAAATATTTATACATTTATTCATGATATAACTAACTTAGTTATATCATGCATTTATTAAAGACTTCATCCGCAGTGGCAGCCTAGCTAATAGTGACCAGCACCACATGAACCGAAAAATGACCCATACCCACTATCAATTGATTGGTTGGGAGGGGGAGTAGTCCCACTAACTTAATATTGATATAGTTTTAAAAAAGACTGTATTATCTATTTACAATTAATATTTATATAGTTTTAAAAAAGGCTGTATTATTTATTTACAATTAATAATGTACGGTATTTTCAGTACCTTTAAATTTAATTCTAGGATAATTATTTATCTATACAACTATACAGACCCGATTACCTACACAATATAATAAACACAATAGATGATGTGTACCTATACTAATGTCTAGTGACTAGTGGATATAGGTTAACAAAATTCTTTATTTTATAAATATATATTATATAGATACCAAACGTGTTTAATAATAAGAAGGATATTTAACAACTCATAACATATATATATTTAATAACATGTGTATATCAAAATTTAAATACAAGTCTTCTTTTTGTAGAAACATTTTTCTTTCTTTACATTATAGACCCAAGACATTTGACGCCGAATATAAAATTTATAAATACTAAATAATAAGCATTTAATCGTGTAATAATAAATGTATTTTAATAAAATAAAAAGATAAGATTTTGTAAATATTAATTAATTTAAATAAAAGGTAATTAAAATAAGAGATCATATTTAATGTTTGGTTATCTACGAATTATACGATACGTTCTTTAAAAACTAATAGTTTCAGTATTTATTTTGTATTGAGAAGTTTTACATATTTGTTTAAGCGTTTCTTTGTTTGAATTTTACAATTTATTTGAATACCAAAGTTTAGCTTTATAATTTCCATTGAGGTTATAGAGTTCATCACCTGCAAAGCTTCAATACATTATAAATTAAATGTGGATGTTAAAATCTATTTAGATATTGGAACTTATTGTTCCAACCTTCTGATATATTATTAGTCTACTATATTATCCTATTTTTTTTTGTATTGAGCACATTCGCCGCGTTCCACATAATATATGGAACAAACATAGATGGGCTTCTTTGGAAGCACAAAACTTACGCATTGTTAATTAACCTGTACGTTTCATTAACAAATATTACATTGAAGTATGTTAAAATACCATCCACATCATTACCATATAAAAAAATATAATAAAAGCTATAAAAAAAGATATTTAAATTGTTTTTATTTTTAATAATATTTTCTTTCATTATAATAGTTCGGTGTCAATTGTCCATGTTTTAAAAATAGCGAGTGCAATAAGTACGATATCGAAAAAACCGTCGGGTGTCAAAATGTCCCTGATGTTAATTGTCGGAATACCGTTACCCTCATGTACCTAATTATTATCCCGATTTGTGATAAGAATCATTAAGAGATGAAGACATGTATTCGACAATGCAATATAATATTATTATAACGAAATAATTAATACATGACATTTTTTCTAAGTAAAAATTGTGAATCACCAGATTTATACACGGTTGACAGTCGYCTTTCGAAAATTGCGGGGACAGCCCAGTCGCCCTAGGTTGCCAGTGTAGATACGCCTATGTTATAATTATACGTTTTAATTGAATGCAGAATTTATGAAAAGCCACAAGGAGATAAGACAATGCCAAATATCAGATCTCTTATCCGAAATATTTAACCCCAAGCCCAACAATGGCTCTATATGTAATATGTATAAACAAATCGTAATATATTCTTGCTAAGCTAAATAAACAGAGGTTTCAACAATATTTTTCGGTGCACAAGAATTGCGTACAAAACCAGGTAGACGGGCCTTTTTGAACGAATTGCGTCCCGGACGTAATTCGTTCAAAAAGGTTCGTCAACCTGTTTTGGTACGCAATTCGTGTGTACCTATATTTTTCCAACATCRCCGAGCGCAGACAAGGGAGGTCCCGTTGTCGTCGAGTGATTCGGCGAGTGCGTATTGCGCGTAAGAATTAAGATAGTAAAACGGTCGTGTACCTACCTACGTAGYGCTAACAATTTGTATACCTAACTTTTATAAACTTGTATTAGGTACCTATATTTTTTTCAAAACTACTTTTTTAGTTATTAGAATTAGGAAAAATGTGATTTTTCACAATAGTTTGTGTAACCTACGTTTCATATAATCTACACAGGTCAATTTGGCGAAAATGGTCGATCGGAAAGAAGTACCTTTTTTTTTGGCGCAAATGGGTAATTTCCCGAACTAATAGCCACACATCGACCGACCTGTGTAAATTGCATATATATGTTGTGTGTAGCGTTCACTCAAGAGAAGTGGACGTGGTCGCTGAGCAAAACTTATGAGTGCTAATGTCTAGTGGGCGTGTGCTTAAAAAAGGGTAACTTAAGAAATATGGTAGATCGATTTTGGTAATTCGGTTGCTGTATAATGCACAATTTAATAATATTAGTACATGGTATATAATAATTAACAACAACACAAAGATATAAAATATATATAAACAATAATACACAGCCTTACAGCCGAACAGATAAGTACCTATAACAATATTGATGCACCTATTAGAGCAGCATGCTGCATACAGTGGCGTATTTACGGGGAGGGGGATCAATGGGGTTCACCTCCCCCATAGACTCATGTCTCGTATCTACGTGTTAAATTTTGCATTTTACATGATTGAGAAAAACAAATTTTTCATATGAAACGAGGGATGCTATGAACAATGTTTGAAGTTTCAGTTATTAAAATTTTCAATTAATATCATAGTCCAAATAATTGTGATTTTTTGTTATCAATTTGGTACTGAACATGGTTCAAAAATGCTAAGTTCTTGATTATTGAACAAACGCTCTGCTGTTATTAAAATTTACTAAATGATAGCCTAAGATGATAACCAATAAGTAATAACGATGACGACAGTTTCTCTTATTAAGAGGACGTTATTATATCCACAAGAGTTATTGTCTCCGTCTTACAAGTGTGTAACATATCAAATTTTACACTCAGCAGATCACGTTTAGCTCCGTGAGTTTAAAATTAAGAGTGAATTGACCTCTTATAAAACTTACTTACCGACACGTCTTACTCGGTAAATTGAGTCCCGTGAAAAA